TCACAGCGCTATACACGTTAACTTTCACTGACAGGCCGATAACTCGCTGTCGGTAAAAATTGTTGGGCCATATGGACCTTGATGATACGCGAGGTAACTAACTCAGCAACGCGACCACCAGAAGTGACAGCTACCAAGGTATTCAAAATAATTTGGAACACTGGTAGCCCAGTTTGGTTGCGCACCTGTTGATCGTTTTTCCGAGCTTGGTTAAGAGATCGCATACGTTTCACCACCATGCGAGGTGGCATCTTCAGTGCAGTGACAGACAGTGTATAATGCTGCTTAATGAATTGTCAGTCCGTTATCCATGGGCAGGTGACTTTTGAAGGTGGCCATTTCGATTTGCGTCACGTGCTCTCTGCCCATTTGCTTCCACGGCTGAACCACGTCTTGCGATTCGCCGGAGCTCTTTCTTTCTGATTTGATGGTACACGGGTCGATGTCGGTGCGCATGTTGATCGAATTATTAGAGGAGTACCATGCTTCTAGGAACTCTCTCTCTCTCTCTCTCTTCTCTTTCTGTGTTGTTGTTTGAGCTAAAATCACTGTTTGGTTCCAATTGAAACTATGTCCCTCCTCATCCACATGCGCTGAGACAAGAGACGATGCATAATGCTTTTTACAAGCCCTCTGATGTTCTTGTATTCTTGTGGATAGTTTCCTTCCTGTCTGCCCCACATAGTTCATTTCACAATTATTGCAATTTATTTTATACACGACGTTTGTTCGTTCCTGTGCATTCCTAATGTTCTTTGGGTTTGATATTTGTCTTATCAAAGTAGCAGTTGGCTTATGAGCGACCACGATGTTGTATTGTTTGAGCAATCTGATATGTTCTTCACATACGGCAAAACGACCCTCTTGCTTGCATTTGGTATCGGCTCGGTGTTCATAAATTTATGGTTTAGACATCTGCGAATGAAACTGCATGGGTTTCCATTGCGCTCGAACGAATCGAATAGGTGTTTCTCTTCTTCCCGTTTGGCTTCCACTGTACTGCAGTGTGCTTCAATCCTGCGAAATAGTGTCCGCACGCAACTTATTTTGTGGCACTTTGGGTGATTGCTGTAGAAGTTCAAAATTCGATCCGTATGTGTCCGTTTCCTGTGAACGGGTGTTTGAAATTCACCATCGTTTGTTCTGGTCACCAACACATCCAAGAATGGGAGCATGTTTTCTGCCTCTAACTCCATTGTAAACTGAATCCCATCCATTGCATTGTTGAGCAGTTGGTTTGCGATTGCTACTTCACTGCGTTTCAGTATTACAAATGTATCGTCGACATAGCGTACCCACAACTTCGGGTTAATAGCTGGTAGTAGATCTTCTTCCAACTTTTGCATGACGAGCTCAGCGATCAGACCTGATACTGTTGATCCCATCGGTGCCCCCTTCACTTGCTCGTAGATCTCTCCGTTGAACGAGAAATAAGTTGTGAGGCATAGTTGGAGAAGCTTGCAAATGCTTGCACTCGTCATACTCCCAATTTTCTCATCTCTGTTGTTCATGCGTTCTATGATGGCTTCTTTTGCCAGTTGCAAATTGACAGATGTAAATAAAGCGGTGACGTCGAAGGAGACCATCGTTTCGTCATGATCTATATGCAGGTTCTTGAGCTTCTCTAGAAATTGCTTGGCGTTGTTTACGGAGTGCTGCGAACCGTTGAGTAGATGTTTGAGGCGCCTCCACAATTCCTTCGCCAAGTTGTAGGTGGGTGTACCTGGAAGTGAAACAATTGGCCGCAACGGAGCACCCTCTTTGTGTACTTTTGGGAGCCCGTAGAATTGGGCGATGTTCGAGTCACGGGCCCTCATTTTATTCCTTTCAATTTCTGTAATTTCTTTCAACTGTTGTAGTTCATACAATGTTTTGTTTATTTGGTTTGTTAGCTGCAATGTCGGATCGTAATTAATGCGCCTGTATGTGCTTGTATCGTTCAGAAGTCGTTCTGCTTTCTCAATATAGTCTGCCTTATCCATTATGACTGTCATATGTCCTTTGTCTGCAGGAAGGATAACAATTAACTCGTCGGATCTCAGGGCTTTCATTGCTTCGTGCTCTTGTCGAGATAGGACATTGTATTGCTTGACGTGTGTCATGGCAGGGACGATTGTGTGTCGGATTTGCTCCTGTATCTCTTCTCCAAGTCCATTTGACCGTAGAGCGTTTTCGAAATCCGCTAAAAACTCCGTGGTTGCCGCGTCTTTGATATTGTAGTTCAATCCTTTGGTGAATATCTGCTGCTCAGTCTCACTCAGCGGTCTGTTAGAAAGATTCCTGATTCAGCGATCGTTGTCAACTCCGTATTGGCAGGTGGTCAATTTTGACATCTTTCCATGAAGCGCGGCCTGCTTCTTCATTCCCGCGTTGTTTGCTCTGCGTTCGATTGCCAACTGTAACTGTTCTGTCAGTTATTGTCCTACGGTTTGCAAACAATTGGCTCGCTCTACATCCAGATATCTTTCATATTTCTTGCTACGATTATTCGTACCATGCGTTTTCCGAACTGACGTGCAACATCCCAAGCCCTGGGATGGTTTAGCGGCGGTCTGTAGTTGACACCGCGAGGAAGAACGTCTCTTCGCAAGCAATCATGGAGGAAGGCTAGCTGCTGCCTTGTAGAGGCTTGCCGGCAAGCAAAATCCTCCCAACGGCGAGCAGAGCGTAGCAATGAAAGCCCTGAGTTCCGACGAGACAATTGTTATCCTTCCTGCAGACAAAGGACGTATGACAGTCATAATGGATAAGGCAGACTATATTGAGAAAGCAAAACGACTTCTGAACGATACAAGCACATACAGGCGCATTAATTACGATCCGACATCGCAGCTAACAAACCAAACAAACCAAACATTACATGAACTACAACCGTTGAAAGAAATTACAGAAATTGAAAGGAATAAAATGAGGGCCCGTGACTCGAACATCGCCCAATTCTACGGGCTCCCAAAAGTACACAAAGAGGGTGCTCCGTTGCGGCCAATTGTTTCACTTCCAGGTACACCCACCTACAACCTGGCGAAGGAATTGTGGAGGCGCCTCAAACATCTACTCAACGGTTCGCAGCACTCCGTAAACAACGCCAAGCAATTTCTAGAGAAGCTCAAGAACCTGCATATAGATCATGACGAAACGATGGTCTCCTTCGACGTCACCGCTTTATTTACATCTGTCAATTTGCAACTGGCAAAAGAAGCCATCATAGAACGCATGAACAACAGAGATGAGAAAATTGGGAGTATGACGAGTGCAAGCATTTGCAAGCTTCTCCAACTATGCCTCACAACTTATTTCTCGTTCAACGGAGAGATCTACGAGCAAGTGAAGGGGGCACCGATGGGATCAACAGTATCAGGTCTGATCGCTGAGCTCGTCATGCAAAAGTTGGAAGAAGATCTACTACCAGCTATTAACCCGAAGTTGTGGGTACGCTATGTCGACGATACATTTGTAATACTGAAACGCAGTGAAGTAGCAATCGCAAACCAACTGCTCAACAATGCAATGGATGGGATTCAGTTTACAATGGAGTTAGAGGCAGAAAACATGCTCCCATTCTTGGATGTGTTGGTGACCAGAACAAACGATGGTGAATTTCAAACACCCGTTCACAGGAAACGGACACATACGGATCGAATTTTGAACTTCTACAGCAACCACCCAAAGTGCCACAAAATAAGTTGCGTGCGGACACTATTTCGCAGGATTGAAGCACACTGCAGTACAGTGGAAGCCAAACGGGAAGAAGAGAAACACCTATTCGATTCGTTCGAGCGCAATGGAAACCCACGCAGTTTCATTCGCAGATGTCTAAACCATAAATTTATGAACACCGAGCCGATACCAAATGCAAGCAAGAGGGTCGTTTTGCCGTATGTGAAGAACATATCAGATTGCTCAAACAATACAACATCGTGGTCGCTCATAAGCCAACTGCTACTTTGATAAGACAAATATCAAACTCAAAGAACATTAGGAATGCACAGGAACGAACAAACGTCGTGTATAAAATAAATTGCAATAATTGTGAAATGAACTATGTGGGGCAGACAGGAAGGAAACTATCCACAAGAATACAAGAACATCAGAGGGCTTGTAAAAAGCATTATGCATCGTCTCTTGTCTCAGCGCATGTGGATGAGGAGGGACATAGCTTCAATTGGAACCAAACAGTGATTTTAGCTCAAACAACAACACAGAAAGGAAGAGAGTTCCTAGAAGCATGGTACTCCTCTAATAATTCGATCAACATGCGCATCGATATCGACCCCGTGTACCATCAACTCAGAAAGAAAGAGCTCCGGCGAATCGCAAGACGTGGTTCAGCCGTGGAAGCAAATGGGCAGAGAGCACGTGACGCAAATCGAAATGGCCACCTTCAAAAGTCACCTGCCCATGGATAACGGACTGACAATTCATTAAGCAGCATTATACACTGCCTGTTACTGCACTGAAGATGCCACCTCGCATGGTGGTGAAACGTATGCGATCTCTTAACCAAGCTCGGAAAAACGATCAACAGGTGAGCTACCAAGGTAAGTGAGCCGATCCATCACTACCAGTGGCTGTTCGCCGACAGCTAAAACAGATGATGCATCGGTCCAGTCCTTTAATGAGTATGGGGGTTGATCAGTGGGCGAGGGCGAGGTGAAGCATAGACTTTGTGTTCGATCGAAAGCTGTAAGAGAAGCCAGTTCATATAAAGCTGAACAAGCCTTTAACCACATTTCGCCAAGCACCATTGGTCATGTTCAATATCGGGGTGCGAACGGCTACAATATAGACTCATTAATATAGAGGCCAACTGAAGGAAGATGATTGGAGAAGAGCAAAGCGTCGCTGGAATATAAAAGTCGGAAACCTGAATGATATGCATACTACGGTAAAACACATGACGGATAGGTGTACAACCAGAAGCGGCTAGACGCGTTTGACCATCATGAGAGGCAATACATAGGCTACATACGAAAAAAACCGAAAGGCAGACTAGAACGTACGTCCGGTGGTCCAAAGAGCAGTTCAAAGATTTTTAAAGCACCCAGACTGAATAAGCCTACCGCCAGTCCAAGGACGTACACCAGCGCCCTGTGAAGAGACCTACAAAGAAAAGGGCATCGGCAATGTAAAGAGGCATGGAGAGAAACCGGTGTAGATGACAATAATCAATCGTTCTAAGCAGATAGTTGTTCGCAGTACACTTGAAAACCGCTAAACGCAAGGCAAAAGGAAAAAATGTTGTATCCAATAGTGTAACCCCGTAGCCTAAAGTAAGCAGGGGACAGAAATGTAACGGATGTGTGATCAACACTAGAAAAGTTGACGGCATCAGACCTGCATGAAATGATCAATAGATGGGTAATGACGCATGGGATTCGCTTGGCATATAGAAATAGTACGAAAATGAGACCAAAAAAGCCACGAACAAGAATCTAGACATATTCACTATCCACTTTTAATACACGTTAGGTCAGCAATACAAAACGATAAGGTATTAAGAATTACAGACCATAAAAAGTGCGAAAAGCAAGTAATACAATTTCAGAGGGTGTTGAAAACAAACGGTTGGTGGGGGGTTGCTTTCAAACCTTTCTGAAAACATGAAGTCTCGATTGGTTCCGAGCATATTACAGGTGATATAATGTTAAATATCATAGTATGCATTTGGTAAGAGAATGTAATTGGAGAGGAATCTAAGAGGAGGAATGTGGCGTATGAGTTACGATCCCCAATCAGAGTTCAGACCGTGTGTGCCCGTCTGTCTATCCAGTACCCACTCACGAGTGGTTGGCTTCAATTACCTGATCGATGCTCTGTACCCGTTCTGGTCAGAATACACATTTGCACGCAGTCACTAGAAATGCTCTGTGCTTTGCGTCGTTCGGCTAAGATACATTATTGCGAACGCAAGCTAGAGTTACTCCACATGTGTAGACTTTAAAATTGGCGGCGAATTGTATATCTGGAATTATTCGTTATGAGTCAACTTATTCTACCGGATCCGTTTTGGAAAAGAAGCGGCTTCCAAGCCCTCATTTGCAGTTTGGACTCGATGGGAAAGAGTATATTGTGAATACCTTGAACTCTTCGAAATCACAAATCTTCACATCACTATTACTGAACAACAATCTGTTAAACTACTGAGACAACACTTGGGTGCGGAGGGTCAGAGGCATTTCGATGCGCTACGGTTGTATGAAAGCACTTCCTTATCACATTGTCTGAAATCTCTGGATGGTCTTCGGGGCTTACAACAACATGTGTTTACTGCACGAATAAATTTTTCCCAACTACGGCAGGGAGACGAAGATGTTAACGAATTTATAACGCATACAACAATCCCTGCCTGATTGCCATTATAATGAGATGCCGCCCCCGAAATTTGAAGAGGTCATGGCTATCCAGTGTCTTCTAGTTGGCATTCGCGACAGCAAGGCCCGAGAACGGTTACTTTCGGAAGAGGATAGCATGTTTTCTTGGGAAGTCGGATGCACATTAGTGAGGCAAAGAGAAAAGGTGGTTCAACAATTAATTCACTACCAACATGATCATCCTTCAGATGCAATCCACGCAGTCAAACCTCGATTGTCAGTAAACAACAAACGCTCCTTTATGTGCTACAGGTGTGGCGAAAGACATGAAAGAGTAACTGATTGTAGACACAAACAATTCACTTGCCACAAGTGCGTGTTTGCCGCTCAACAGTGCTTCCACATCGTGTATCTTACCCTCCACCAAATACTGTACGGACAGTAGAGAATTCCGATGAGTCCATATCTTACTTGATTTCACATACTACCACGTCACATGTGCGCGGAATACCTCCATACACTGTAGAAGATGGGACTGAAGGTCAACCCGTGCGCCTTGAAATCGATACGGGGGCCTCGGTTACGTTAGTCAACAATCGCACACTGCCCGACCTGTCGTCGGTCCCGACACACTGTTTTGCGTTCTTATACTGGTGAATCGCTCGATGTACTGGGGATGTGTGAAGTAGTTTACTCGTGAAGCCGATACTTACCCTTCCCTTAGTTGTTGTTAACACAGATGGCCCCAACTTACTTGGTAGAAACTGGCTCAAACATATGTCGGAACAACTTAAACCGTCAGAAAGCTCGACCATATTCCAAACATCCCTTCATTGTTGAAGATGTGCGCTTATGTGTTTGATGAAACATCACCCGGTAAACTACGTGATTTTAAAGTCTCTTTCAATATCAGACCGAACACCCAGTCGAAATTTTTCAAAGCAAGGGTATTACCTTTTGCTATCCGTCCGAAAGTTGAGTTAGAGCTAGAGCGCCTCAAAAAAGATCGAATATTATCGCCAGTACACTACTCATCTTGAACCACGCCAATTGTTCCAGTACGAAAACCCAATGGCACCGTCCCTATCTGTGGTGACTACAAGTTGACTGCTAACCAAGAAGCGACGTCAGAACTCTAGCCTATTCCACGGATTGATGACTTATACGCAACTCTGGCAGGTGGACAGAAGTTTTCCAAACTTGATTTAAGCCACGCTTACTCCCAAGTAGTGCATGAATCCGACAAGGAGACAAGCGTCAATACGCACATAGGTTTGTTCCACTACAACAGACTTCATCCGGTATACATTCTGCACCGGCAATAGTGCAGAGGATTATTGACATTTTAGTGAAAGGAATACCCGGTGTGTGCGCTTATCTAGATGACAATATAATTTCTGACAGAACTGATCACGAACACACGACATCGCTTTCGACGGCCTTGAAACGTCTCCAAGCTAGTAGACTCAAGCTGAAGAAATCCAAATATGCATTTTTCGCAGTGTCCAGTACTTTGGATTTCGTTTAGATAAACACGGTTTGCATCAGTTAAAGGAAAAAAAGCCAGCCCATCCTCGACTCTCCGAGACCATGCAGCGTCAGTGGGCTGTAATGCTTTCTAGGTATGGTAACACTATAGTCGTATTCCACCTGATTTGACCACCACCCAAGCACCACTGTACGCTTTACTACGAAAAAATACCAAGTGGCAGTGGCCAGCTAAAGAACAAAAGTCTTTCGATACTGTCAAGGCAGCCGTGGAAAAGGCTAATCCGCTAGTAAATTTTGATTGGAAAAGGCTCATCAACCTCCGATGTGACGCCTCAGCATCAGGGCTCGGCACCGTACTGTCCCACAAGATGGACGATCAGACGGACAGACAAATCTCTTTTGCCTCCAGAAGCTTAGCATCGGCAGACATAATTTATGCACAACTGGATAAGGAAACGTTGGCAGTTATACTCGGTGTTAAGTAATTTCACCAGTATCTTTGGAAAAGAAGTTTCCAAATCTTTACTGGTCATAAACTCTTATTAGCCTTGACTGGCGAAAGTACAGGCATCAAGCAGATGTCATCTCCTCGTACGCAACGTTGAGCCTTATTGTTATCGGCTTACAATTACACTATCTCTTATGTCCCTGGAAAAGCAAACGGCATTGCGGATGCCATGACTTTAACAAGGGGGATGGAAAAAGAAACTCAAAACGGGGCCGGCACTTCGCCATATCAACAAGTGTAGCCAACCAAACGTACACATCGTTGTTGGGACTCCAGCGCGGCAGTCGGAATGCACCAAATGTAGTCAACATCGAAGTGAGGGTTTTCAGTTCTCTTTACCGTCATCGCTTATCCTTCCTTCCTCTTTTTTCCATCCAGACCCCGGACGTACAAATGCACGTGAAGGGAATCGGTGTGTTGGCAGGCGCACAACACGTGGCCCGGCCATCGGAGCCTGGTGCGCGGTATAATGCTGCTGAGTGGTTCACTCGTTCTTCCTGCACCAAAGAACCGAAACGTGCTACCGAGTAACCTATGGTCATGCAATCAATCATAACATAGCCACATACAATACATTGATGCAGAAGCATAACGGACAGTGTGATTAGAGCTGTTAAAAGAAAACAGCGGAACAAACACAGCTCGACAGGTAGAGGAATCAAAAGACGACTTACCCAAAGGTAAGAAAGGGCTGTTGGCGCTGACCTTTGGTGGAACAGGATAAAATGGAAAAATTATTATTGCTGTTGGACTCTTCGTTCTCTGCCGTAATATCAAAGTGGACTTTGTACTGTAGTCGAAAATCATACATAGGCGCTTGATACTCCGATAAATTTTGTAATCTCCCCACCTACTGCGATTGGACTCGACAGCGCCACTGATGAATGATGTGCAGGTGTTTCTCCAAACTCCACAGCCGAAGGTCACCCGCATGCTAACAACATAAGCTGAAACAAGTCAGCTGAAGAGAGAATATATACGAATGAGGTCGAGTAAATAAACGTCAATAACTAGTTTTGTCTACACTGATAGTTACATACTGTGAGGCACAGCCTCAGCGTCTGGTTCAAATCAGTTATTTAGATAGAAATCAAACATTAAGATGCGATGAGGCAAATTGTCACGACGTAGGGAGTAGAAAAGGACGAACAGGAATGAAAGGTAGAAAAAAGCAAGAAAAAAGAACGTCGTTTCGAGAGAAAGAGCAAAAGTGATAGACCAAACTTGGCAGTGCAGTAGGTTCCGCAACGGAATTACCTTACAAAATTGCCAGCAATCGCGGTCAGTCCGCCCTAGCTGAATTTTGAACTGATTCGCGACTTCTCGCGAGCACTCCGTGACAGTTAGAATAAGTGCAAGTCGATCTAGACAAGTGATATTACCTTGTGTGGGAAGCACAAGAAGAGTTGTACAGCGATCGGGGTCAGTCCGGACACAGTAAGACTACGTACTGTTGATTATATTCCCATATGTTAGGCCGAAGCTTGAATACTGTACGATAGTGTACGGTAACCTAAGAAAAGTGGACATGATTATATATATATATATACATATATATACATATATATATATGTATATATATATATATATATATATATATATATATATATATATATATATATATGGTTGGCGGCATCCGGTTTCGGATTTGCCTGTCACTGTGGCAAGCCACAGGACGCCTGCGCCTACAGAGGGACCATGGATGGCTTGCGCTGCACCACCCACAGCTCCAACCACACACCCCATATCCAGTGTAAACCCGAAGGAATAAGACCGGGAGGCATGCAGGATGGGAACCACGTTTCATCAACGGAGCCGGCCCACACTCCTTCACAGGCAAACACAAGCACACTGTATTTGGGGAATCAAGCGCACACAAGGCGGTGGCTGGACCGTAGTCCGTTCCACACTGAGTGCATGGAACCACTCTTCGAGCCTAGCACGGCCACAAGGACCGTGCACCCCGTCCCCCCCAGCAACGACCAGCTGTCTCCTGGAGCCAGTATGGACGAGGTAGTGGGTAATAGACAGGTAGGCACCTTGTCAACATGCACATCAAGCGCAGCCACACCGGGGATAGCACGCAACAGCCAATCACTTGAAACGACAAAATGAAATAACATAAATCCAATAATGCATACAGATACGGTGGCATAACTCTTCGCTAAGTTAGCATATGAAGTAAGTTGGTTAGCAATGAATCCGTGATAAGGAAAAAATGTCCACGAGTTACTCAAAAATGCTACAAACGCAACAAAATTACCGAAGATAAGCACAATTAGCGTAAGCGACATGGCCAGCTAATAGAAGACTATTCAGATAGGCAAAACTAACCAAATAAACTGGAATGAAATTTATGCAGCTTAAAGAGACCTAGTTTAAGTGTAAGTTGGTTTAGCCCAACTGCGGTGAAGAAGCATCAAGAATGCAACATCAGCCTCAGCATACATACATATATATATATATATATATATATATATATATATATATATATATATATATATATATATAGTTCGCAGCATCCGGTTTCGGATTTACCTGTCAGTGTGGCCAGCCACAGGACGTCTGCGACTACAGAGGGACCATGGGTGACTTGCGCTGCGCCACCCACAGATCCAACCACACCCCATATCCAGTGTAAACCCGAAGGAAGAAGACCAGGAGGAATGTGGATGGGAGCCACATTTCATCAACGGAGCCAGCCCACACTCTTTCACAGACAAACATAAACACGCTGTATTTGGGAATCAAGCGCACATAAGGCGGTGGCTGGACCGTAGTCCGCTCCATACCGAGTGAATGGAATCACTCTTTGATCCTGATACGGCCACAAGGAATGTGCACCCCGTCCGCTCCAGCAACGACCAACTGTCTCCTAGAGCGAGTATGGACGAGGTAGTGGGTAACAGACGGGTAGGCACTTTGTTAACACGCACATCAAGCGGAGCCACACTCGGGATATCAAGCAACAGCCAACCACTTGAGTGAAAGAAAACAAATAAAATAAATCGAGCAATGCATAAGGAAACGGTGACATAAATCTTAAATTAATGGGCATATGAAATAAGTTGTTTACAAACGTGTTATAATCGAGGGAACGCCTCTGTTATGATTGCGTAGATGCCTGATAAGATTGTCACTGGCGCGGTTGGGAGCACGCCTGTGATATCGGCTTGGAACGCTGACCAATCGAACGGATTTGCGCTGACCTGATGGTGTAGCTTAGTCTGGGGTACGCGCTGGTGAGACGGAAAATTGAGTGAGCGTGAGAACGATCCTAGCCGCACCTATTCGGGTAGATGCTGAGCCCTCGGAACGAATGCACACGAAAGGGGGTTACGATATACGCGCGCTAGTGACTTAGACGCGAACGCTGGCCGGCTAACGACGCACACAAAATCACGTGACCGACAGATTTTCAACTAAGGCGAAGAGAAAGAAAAGCAAGTGGTCCTCTGAAGGCTCTTTTACGACCAACAAAGGGCGAATCACATCCAATGCTATGGGTCATTAAGTTAGGGAAAGTCTCTACCACGACGAGGTGGCAGTTTGTAAAAGATCATTGTCAAAAGGTGCGCAGTTGGGCTGCGTCTGGCAGTGGCTGAACGCCACTGCGTTGTGGGAAGGAATTGAACCTCGCTTTCCACAGCCATTCTCCAGGGTTTCTGGCGTGTTTTTGCGGGAATATTTGACGAGTCCACAACACCCTTTGAAGAGAAAGCGTGCCGCTTCTAACAAGGATCGACTTGGAGGGATTTCGGCGACCTAAGAATTCCGCCTGTTCGTCGGCAAGGCTGGTTCTCCAGACGCGGCGGTGATTGATCGCCATCGACCGTGGTCCCCCGTTGTGTAGCTATTCCAAAGTTATCCAGCAGGATGTGCAGCGGCAGGCGCACGGGAAGGCTGGCTGACGTGGAGGTTTCTCCTTGGCGCGGTCGAAGTTGATTACGATGGCGAACTCATGTGTCATTACTAACGGAGACATCATGCAGCAAGTCACCTCGCCTGACCGTCACTATTGCTTTGATCCAGCGTGGATGACCTGCTCGGTAATCGCGAGCGTAGACCGGGACTCCAACGACGAATTCTTTGTGCTTGCTGCAGGCACCAGAGTGACTAGGTGGCTTCTCAGTAGGAATAAGCGCTTCCTTGGTGGTGCGTAGTTTGCGGCCCATCAAGGCTTCAGCTGGTGACTGCCATCCCGGCGTAGCTGGATTCGGTGTGGACCGGTAGGAGAGCAGGTAGGCTTGAACACACTCATCCACGGTCCCCTCCCCGCGAGATTTCAACAGCGCCCTATTGAAGGTGTCGACAAACCGCTCCGCTTGACCATTGGACTGGGGATGGTAAGGGGGTGAGCGGAGGAGTTCGATGCAGTGTAGGCGACAAAAGTATTCGAAGATGGAAGAGGTGAACTGGGTACCATTGTCGGACACCAAGACATCGGGAAGGCCATGTTGACTGAAGATTCGTTGGAGACAACCCAGAGTGGCGGATGCGGTTGGTGGGTTGACGGCGACCACTTCTGGCCATTTGGAATAGGCGTCAACCACAACCAGATAGCAAATACCATCGATGGGACCAGCATAGTCGATGTGCACTCGAGAAAACGGTTTCGCTAACGGATGCCAAGAAACAGACGATTGGTGTGGTGGCATCTTTGAGGTTTGTTGACATTGCGAGCAGCGGCGGACTAGATCTTGAATGTCGTTGTCAATGCCAGGCCAGTACACATAACTGCGGGCAATTGCCTTCATTCTGTTCATACTGGGGTGAGCAGAATGGAGCTGGCGGAGTACAGCTTGCCGGAGGCATGAAGGAACGACAACTCGGTCTATAGTCATGAGGCAAAAATCGACCACGGAAAGGGAGTCGCGACGTTGATGTAGTTGTTTGAGTTCACCAGCCAAGGTAGTGTTTGGCCAGCACGTCTGAACGTAAGTGTCGGCTTTCTGCAAAACAGGGTCTTGAGCAGTTGCACGACGTATGTGGGCGGCAGTGATGGGGAGACCTCGGATAGTGTTCGATAGTTGATAACGAGCGTCGTCCTCGACGGTAACAGTGACAACCACTGTCTTCTACTGCGGCATGCTTTGAAATGAGGCGGGAGAGACTGTCGGATTGACGAAAATCCTGAGTATGGCAGTAGCGGATTTCGAAGTGGTAACCAAGAAGGATGACCACCCAACGCTGAAGTCGGCTAGCCGAGTGTGCGGGAATGCCCTTTTCTGAACCGAAGATTGAAAGTAGGGGCTTGTGATCGGTCGATAGCGTGAACCGTCGGCTATACAGCATCTTGTGGAACTTGGTGATGGCAAAGACGATGGCAAGGGCTTCCTTCTCGATCTGACCATAGTTCTTCTCCACAGGCGTCAGGGTGCGGGAGACGTGCATAACGGCTTTCACGGAACCATTGGGAATCGATGGGAGAGAACTGCTCCGATCCCGTAGGCAGAATCATCACCAGCGACCAAAATTGGCAAGGGTGGGTTGTAATGAGTCAACAGTAGACCAGAACACAGCATGGCTTTCAGGCAAACGAAAACTTACTCGCATGCGGGGGCCAATGCCAAGGAACGTCCTCCTGTAACAACCGATTGAGCGGAAATAGAACATCGTGTAGCGATGACAGGAAGGCACTGTAGTGTCTGATGAAATCCAGGAAGGACCGCAGTTGTGACACATCCGCTGGAGCTGGCATCTGCTGGATGGCTCTGACGTTCTCAGGATCAGGATGACGACCGTCGGCATCGAAAACGAAACCAAGGCATTTGATCGACGGAAGGAAGAATTGGCATTTCTCTGGTTTCA